ATGTACAGCAACAAACAGCTGGAATTTAGTACAGAAATAAACGAAATAACATTTTCTGCTGCCTGCAGAAAGGCTGCAGAACAGTAATGTAATGACATATAATTACTATGCAAAATTCACCAAAAAATAAATGACTAAAAACCAGTTGTGTTTGTGAAAATTCCTGGTGTCCACAGATTACCTTGAATAATTGCTTACTGCAAGGAGTGATGTTAACTACAAACTAAGTGGTCTATCCAGTGCAATTTCCAAATGTCTTTGAGAAAGAACTGTCAATAAACCTAATCCCCACACAGAGCACTTTTGCTATTGTCCATGAAGATGCAAGCTGTGTTCCTAAATAAGTGCTTGAACCCTATTAATCACTAAAATGTGTGCAGTAACCCTAACCTTACATGAAAGCTAACCAATATGTGTAACAAATGCTTAACCCTAATCACTAACCCAAGTGTGCTTAACCCTAATCACTACAGTAACCCAAGTGCTTAACCCTATAATCACTCAAATGTGTACAAAAGCCCTAACTTTACATGAAAGGTAAACATTTGAAATAAAGACTTGACCTAGAATTTTATTTCGAAAAACATTGAAATTTGAAAAATTACTTAGGTTTAAAAACAAACTAGGTTTAAAATATAAACTAGGTTAAAAAAATAACCTAAAAATAAATTTGACCTGTAACATATACTTTTTATGGGAATACGCAACTCTCAGTTTTTTACATAACGTTGTCTCAACGAGGGAGAATACATTTGACTACACATCTAAGGGACTGACATAAAAAGAAGTTCCATTATATAATATTTCTAGCTGGCAAAAATTTTAGAAGATAATCACCATTTTCCATGCTCTCTATAGCCATTCTGAAGCAAAGCCACAGGAACAGCAACTTTTCAGGAAAGAACTGTTGCAAAATCTGTTGGACTTAATACAATGAAATAAAGTTGATTATTCAAAAGTGCCAACAACTTCAATACCAACAAGAACATGTGATTCAACCAGACTTTGCCTTTTTCCCCAATGGATTCTAGTTTTCACACAATAAGATACATAATATTCAAGAACATGTACAGTGTAGCTCCCAAAAACTGATATTTTACTAATATGGTATGTCTTGAACAATGACTTCAATACTAACTGTAAATTGGCATTTAAAATTTCAATAAAGACCTTTAGCATCAGGTTTTTCATGCATAGGGACACTGCAAACAGGTCTCAAATATGAGAACGTCAAGTGGTCTTCTGGTCACGTTTACAGTTTGCAGTTCAAGTTTGAATGGCAGGAAGGGCTTAAAGCAGTAGGTGACTTACAGGAATTTTTTTTGCTACTAACAATAATAGCGGAGCTCCGGCGCGCGAAGCGCGCCAGCGGAGCACCATGGGTAATAAAATTTGGTAAACCATCCATCCGAGAAAATTTGGTTATGACGTAGCGTACGCCCGTACACTCTTTGCGGGGGAGGGAAGGGAATCAGGTGTCAGCCCGTCCGGGGGAGGAGTTTGTTATAAATCGCGCGATGCATTTGTGCACCCACCTGTTTCTTGGCGGGAAATCGCGCAAGAAATGACGTGGCTGTCGTCGCGTTCAAAAACATGTTTACTTCAACGGAGCTACTTCATAAAGATTTTGCGTCCGGAGAGCTCAATTTCTAGTAAACTGTTTCGAAGAAATTGTTATGGCAACAAACAATAGCGGATTGGATTCAAACTATTTGCTTGTAAGTGAAAAGCGACGGGAAAGAGAAGAAGAGAAAGGCATAGAGTAAGAATTAACAGGCGCGCTAGCGAAGAGGATTCAAGTGGAAAATTTATGCAGCATCTGCGACTTGTTCACTGATAGCTGAAGCTGACAGAGTTTTGAGTCATCTTTTGATGTTTTTACCGGTCTTTTTGCACTGGATCTACAAAATGAAATACAGCAGCTATTAACATTCTTTTGTTATTCTTGGCTAGCTTGTTTACTGGGTTGTGGTTGAGAAATGCGCTGCACGACAAAAAGAAATCGGGAATCACCGTTTTCAGAAATAAGCTACTCTTAGTAAGCTTACTTCGCCTTGCTGGACCATGCGAAACATCTTAAGCGATTCTGGCCTTACTTGATGGGTTTCCGTGCTGCATCTCGACCGGTAAGCTTGAGTAATTGTATTGCATTTTATGTGTTTTCTTTTTTCATGTTTATGCCGTCATTTTACGCACATTTCTAAGGTTTGAATCAATTTCTCTGACCTAGTAAAGAACTTAAAAAGTCTTTAGACATTTTCTGACCGCGACTAGAAGAAAAAGTTCTGAAAAATAGTTTAGTTATCCTATTGTTTGTAAAAAGAAAACTTTGAGCGATATTCTTGCCTGGAGTTCATCTTGCAAAATAGCAAACACGGCGAAGGCGGCTTAAAACTTAAGGCTTAATTTAAATCTATTCGTGACTCAGCTTTACCCTCAAAACACGTCTTGGGGAATAAAAATTGTTGACCTTTAAATGTTTCTTTGTATTATATTTCTTGTCTTGATTGTTTGTCAAGTTCTCGTTCTTACGTGATCGCTTTGCCAGTTGTTGTTCTCAGTCGTCCGTGAACGCGTTGGTCACGCTCTACGTCCAACTTTTATGCTCTGATTGGTCAAAATTTGACAGGTGAGTTCATGCGGAAAATTTATGCAGCATGTTGAAACTTGTTTACTGTGACAGCTGAAGCTGACAGAGTTTTGTGTCAACTTGTGATGTTTTTAACTGTCTTTTTCTACTGGATGTACGAAATGAAATTCAGCTACTATCAAGAGTCTTCTGTTATTCATGGCTAGTTTGTCTATTGGGTTTTTGGTTGAGAAATACGTCGCCTGTCAAAGTCGGAAATCCGATTTCGGATGGCATCGATTCGTTTTCGTTTTTCACCTTGCTTGATTGAAAAGTCTGAAGCGATGTAGCTTCCAGGAGCTGCCTGAGTAATTATTGTATTTGTGTTTGTTTTTTTCATATATCTAATTTCATGAAGCCGAGCGCAGTTTATGAGGCATGCATGTTTGAATTAAGATTTGAGATAATGATCTGACCTATAGTATGAGGTTTGATTTAAGCTTGCAGAACTTTAAAAAGTCTTTAGTCGATATTTTCTCACCGCAAATAGAAAGAAAAAAACGTTGCGTTTTTATTTTGGCTGTAGAAAGAAAGCTTTGAGCAATTTTCTCGCCTCGAGTTCATCTTTGAAAACAGCAAACACCGGGAAGCCGGCTTTAAAACATAAACTTAGGCTTTAAGCATAAAGACTCAGGATTCTTAGAGACACTTTAATACTTAATTGTCTTCGTGAATGAAAATTGTTGTCTCTGTAGATGTTTCACCGAATTATATTTCTTTTATTGATTGTTAGTAGTCTCTTTTGCAATTTGCCGTTAATGTTTTCAGTTGCAGGAGTACACAAAACGTCGAGCGTATTAATGCATCAGTCAATTCCACCTGCGCCAAGCTCCCCCCCGAGGACGGTGCATTTGCCCTCTTTTTTCGTCCCCACCCCGGGGGATTTGCCAGCTCAAGAGTCCCCACCCCCGGGAATTTGCCATCCAAGGCAAAAAAAATGCTAATTCCCGGGGGTCAGCCCGGAGGGGGCCTGGGCGCAGGTGGAATTGACTGATGCATAAACGCTTGTTAAGTTTACACATCGTTATAAAACCATTAAATTAAAAAAACACAAATTCTTTATTATGTTGAAGTGTAACTCTATTAATGTTCATTCAAACACTAGATAGCTTGCAACTGGCTGGCCGTTATATAGGTGATTTTGGAAATTTTTTTAGCGGTTTCTCTAAAAGCCCACGCGTGCTTCAATCGTCCTGAAATTGAATGAGTGTAATTTATATTTCAAAACTCTGAAATACTGCATTCTGTCTGAGGTCTGTATGATAAAAACAGCACCTCATAATACTGTTTCACCTCAGACTGTCAGATGTGATGTATAAAAAGTATAAAAGGTTGGTTTACACGCCCGCAGATTTGTTAGCAAGATTTTGCAAAGCAAACTTGTCAAACGGAAAAAATTCTGCCGGATTTGCTTTCCAAGTATTTGTTTTCCAGGCCTAATGTACTGTGATCAAGAGCCATTATGGACGTCGTTAAATGTGATCGAAGATGATTGCTATTTTTTGGGTGTACATATAAAGGCCGTCAACTCGATGTAAGGTTTGGTGCACTCTTGGACTGTTAGCAAAGTATTTTTCTCTCAAATCACTTAGCCTTAATCCCTCAAAACAAAAGTCACATGAATGTGCTCTAAAGTGAACTGATTTGTGGAATACAAGTTTATTGTTTGATTGAAATTACAAATTTATCAATGGGAGCTTCGCTTATAGCCCTGGCTAAATCTATATTATTATTGTTCAGCCTTACATTTAAAAGCACGAAGCAGCTTTCCACACAACTCTCTGATGTGCTAGTTAGAGCTGGTGATAAACATTATGAATGTCTGCCTAAAGTTTAAAATCCGGGCAAAGTGAAACTGCAAATGGGTGACTGCAGACTGCAGTTTACAGTTTGCAGTATCCCATGAAAAACTTATGCCAAAGGTATTTTTAATACCTATGGATGTTCTCCAACAGGAAATTATTTTGCTAACAATGAAAGATCTTAAGATTAAAGGATATTCAAAACAAGATTTAAATTTCAAGGATTTTCCATTGACTCAACTTAGATTCAAGAGCTTTTAAGAGGGTAGCTAAAATTCAAGAGCTTTTCATATCTTTATGAACTATCCATCATCTGTGGTATCACAAAACAATGTGAAAATGACATGATGAGCTTCCTAACCTTTCTATAAAAAGAGTTGTTAGTTTAGTTCTAACAATATTTAAGTAGGTGACAATATTAGTTTCAAGTACTGTAGTGTTGAGATGTATGATAATATATAAACAAAATACTCAAAAAAGCAATAAATATAAAACTAACTTGATGTAGCATGAGCATGCCTGTAATGGGAAGTAGCCTTTAAATATACATGTAACTGACGCTGTAATGAGTGTGCTGCCTCAAAGCCTTGATTTGAATACTCCCTCAAGCTGAGGTGGTTTCTTAACAGCATGCTGGCATGTTCAATGGTGATGTGGCCATAATCACTAGTGCCCAGGTTGCAGCCAAACACTTCCCTTAAAAAAGAGTGAATAAACTGTCAAAATCAACATTGAAGACTGTGCAGTAACTGACAACGGGTCTAAAATACAAGTACCTTTTCCACAGGTCAGAGTATAGTTCACCATGATACAGACAAATGAATATTATAGAATTAAAAGTGTTTGCAAGTCCTAAACTTTTAACAAAATGCTCTATTATAGAAGGGAATCTGTGTGGTTTGTCAATTTATCTGTCGAGCAGTGACATGCACTTCTTACCTGTGGAATGTGACCTGTACTTTGTGAATATCTTAAACATTTTAGGAGAGATAAAAATTTTTACTTTTAAAATATTAATGTATGTGCCTCATTCTATAATCAAACTTTAAGTATTTGTTTAAAAGACCAGCATGAGTGTATTTCCAGGTTCTGATTATACATGTCTGCAGATTTTTTGAACGGCTTCAAAATCTCTGATATAGATCTTGTACTTAAATGTTCAGATCTGTTTTTTTTTTTAATCTAAAAAATTGGATGTAAAGTTTAGCCGTGCCTTTATCAGATAGACACTCATTAAACATTTCTTTCTTTTGTTTTTTCTTCATGGATTATTAATGAGTTTTTGAATGTCAGTTAAAGTGACTCAGACTGGAAATTATTTTTGAATTTCGCGTCATGCAACGCGGCTTTTAATTGCTGGTCTCTGGTGAAAGATTTACAAGAAACTCCACTACAAAAAATACAGCTGTATTAACCTTCTCGTCTAAATTTATTATTGTAATAGTTTTAGACATTATGCATATTTTACATTAAGAGGACTTCATTTTAAAATGGTACTTTACATTCTTACTAAAATTGAATTACCTGACAGTCATACCTGTATGTCAAAAATGTCAATTAAATCTTGCTGATCTTCCTCGAAGACACTACTTCTAATAACTTCAGAAATCAGGCTTTCCAGTCAGTGTAAACCTGAAATCAAAATGAATAATTAGGGTACGAAAAGCCCAAATTACAATCAGAAATGAGGTGTTTTTTTAGTTAAGGGGAAACTGCCTATCTCAGTTTTTTTTTTAAAAGAGCATGCAGTGACCTTACCTTGTGGCCTGTGTTTTGTAATGCCACTTGTTAAAGTTAAGAATTTTGTTCAAAAAGGCAAAATCAGCTTGCCTAGTTTCAACTCACAAACATGTCTGGATTTCGCCCCATATCTTATTTTGCATAAAACTGTCCCATGTGTCTTCCAATTAAGTAAAAAAGGACTTGATTATTTGATTACCTTTAAAAAAAAATTGGTAGAACACTTCTGCTGCATAATCAGATAGCTGAGAAAGATCAGCATTGTTTACCTTCTTCCTTTTCTTTCCTCGTTTCCCTTTAGCAACCGACCCACCAACACACTTCTCTGACAGCTCCACATATCTTCCCTCGATTTCACGTATAGCCTGCCCTGCCAGAATTCCAGTCTTCTTTGAACTTCTTTTCTAGTTTCTAAGGAAAACAGGTTATAGGTAGTCACATCACGAAGTGTAACGGGGTATTCTTTTTAAGGGAGGACTATTATGCAAGAAAACAAACCACAGGGGGTGCTGTACATGCTAAGGAACATTCACTCAGCTGGGATGCCGTAATCTGATGCAATAATGATGTATGTATTAATACTAACAGTGCTCTGCTAGCCTATCACAACTTCCAGTGTAGATGGATGTAAATGCGGTCATTAATTCAAACTGTCTGGTTTAAGGGAAGGAAAGGTTTTAAATAACAGCTAGTATAATGACTGTAACATGTACCTGAACCTGTGAGGGTAGTAGTCTCCTGCTTTGAACCAAAGTCTTTGGTGAATGTGTCTGAAATAGCCATGTCCTGATAGTACTAAAACAAATTATTCAAAATTCATTGAATATTTTAAACAGAAACCATTTTTTTTCAGTGTATGTTTCTACTTACTACACAAAGAATATTATTGTGTGTTGCACTGGTTTAAGTGAAACATTGAAATCATGTAATATCCTGAGCCATACCTTGATTCTATCATTACAAAATGTGACTTTATTCAGGAGGGCCTCTTTAGAGCTTTCTGGATCAGCAAAATATGACTTCAATTTGTCATGAGGCAAGGAGTTCCTGACAATCGTTTCAATGTTTGTGAGGAACTCACGTTCAGTAGAACCTTCAGGAAAAATAGTACAGAAAGAAACAAACAGGATTTAAATTCACAACTTAATGTCCTTAATGACATCTTCATGCATTTACAAACCAGTATTACAGTTTTCATATCAGGATCAAGCTGGTATTGTACAATTATAATGAAACTCACGCAGCTGCTACAGCACAGAAGTAAAAGCCCCGAAGTGGATAAAGCTAATGAAAGCAATCATGACAAGGATGAAACAAAATAGAAGGTACCTGAAAATGAAGACACCTGGATGTTGTGCTTTTCAGCAGCAGTTTCTTGGCCCATATCCTTCATCTTCACCGTTATTCTGCTGCTAAAATTCTCAGGGCCATAATTTGCCAATTGGTCATTACATTCATCAAGTGAACCCACTTTGTACGAAAACAAACCCAATGATGACAACAGCTGTTCAGTATTTCTAAGTTCGCAGTGAAGGGCGCAGAGATTAATCAAGAAGGAACTCTAAGTCATCACGGATACCTTTGAAACTATAAAAAAGAAGATCCATTATTTTGTTAGTTGTAGGGGATATCTCCCCTGAAGTGGTTACAGGTTTATAGATTTCAAACTCAAGTATTTTACCCGACAGGTTTTCAGTCTTTTATGACGTACAGTGCCCCTACAATATTGACGCACCTACAGTAAAGGAAGACTGTGATATATTATTATGGAAAAATAATATGTGCTCTCTAGGAAAACAAGACAAGGATAACTTCAAACATTTTATAGACGGCATTAAACACCATGTTTGTCCAAAAAAATGCTTTTTTGGATTCTTTTCCATGCAGTGGAACTTCCCCTTTTACAAAAGGCAAGGCTTAATTTATAAAATATTGCTAAAATGAGGTCTATATAAAAAGTTAGTCTTTTACAGAAAACATACTAAGCTATAAATGCTGGGATGACGAGATTCACTCACTATACCAGGGAATTTATTTTTTTGAATAGAGGTTAACCGTATTGAGATAATCTTGTTTTGAATGTCTTTTATAATTAGAAGTTACTGTGAATTCAAAATGACAACTACAAATGCTGAAATTCATGAAAAATCAAGGGCTGCATGCCTCAACAAGTATCATCGGAGAAGTCTTAGTAAACCAAAACTATAACTAAATTACCCTCCAATATTGGCCTTGGACATGCTAAAGTGTTCCAAACAAACTGTATGCAGACCAAGATCGCAATTACATCCCTAATAAAGTAACAATAAAAATAGCAATTATTCATAGCTAGTTTTTAATAAGAAATTTTACCCAGCAAAACTGAAAAACTATTAGTACTATATTGGTAAGTTGGTCATTGGTAAGGTCAAAACCTGTATAGTAGAATTTTTTGACTCAGAGATTTTGAATATATCCACATACCCTCAAAGCTGTGCAGATGAAGCAACACTCTACTTCAGTTCCTCGTTTCCCAAGCTGAAAGTTCGTTTCCCTATTTGTTCCAGCAAAAGATAGAGGGCCTTCAGGTCAAGTATAACTGTAGATATAAATTTTAAAAAAAAGGTCAATGTACATGCAGGCATTTGGATTGAAAATTATGGTACTAAAAAATACCTTATTAATTATTATGTGAAACTTACCTTTAAATCTCACAGCATAATGCACTCCATCCACTGTGATTCCATTCTTCTTTAGTGCATCCTTTTGTTTGTTGATATTAGCAATCAGCTTTTTTAGGTTTTCCCTAATAATAATAAAAAGTAAAGTTACTGGTAAACTGAAGTTATTACTAAAGTGAAAAAAAAAAAGGAAAAAGAAATACCATACTGCTAGTCTAGTCTGCGGCAGATAGTTCTTAAGTGGCTGTCCACCTAAGAGCGGTCCGGCGAGTTTGGGATCGCCAGTAAACCTTCCCTTTGTTTTTTGTGGGTGAAAAGGACTTAATGAGGAATGATTAAAATCGAACTAATTTTTTTCAAAATCCTTTTCTGGGCTTCGCTACAGCACAAAACTTCTTTCCTGTCTGAGAGCGCTTTTTCAACCTTATTCGATGGCCGAAATTCGGTGATTTTAAAAGCCGCGCTTCTTCGTAACGGATAAATATCGCGAAATTCTACATAGTACAATAGATTTAGCTGCAGTTGGCTTGTCCTATGACGGAATATGGAATAATTTGACCCAAAATTAAATTAAATTAATAAAATCAAACACAAGCCCCTTTGCGTTTTTTTTTCCCTCTTGACAATTTCTTCCAAAGTAAAAGCTAAAATCTCCAAAGCGGTACAAAAATCACAGGTAAAATGCACTTCACAGCAAAGATCTTACCTTATTCTGTTAGAGAATAAAGTCAAAGGTGCGGGTATCGTTCTGGGTTGGACGTGATGAAAACGTTATTAACAGCCTCTTTTCGGCATTATTTGCATAGATTTGCCCGCTTAACGGTTCACACACAACGACTTTAATTTAGTAGATATTTTCTCAGTAGCTGAGAATGTTGTCGTGTATCTTCAAAATAACGAACATGTGTTTTCTTTTCACCAGCCTTTTTAAGTTTGTATAAATGAAAGCCGAAAAAAATGCCAAAACTGACATTCTTGATCAACCCGTCGGATATGCAAATCGTGCTTGCTTACAGACAGGTTGTCCATTTCAGCTATGTTAAAATCTCAAACTACGTGTGGTTATTAACTTCTTCTCAAATGTAATCAATCTTCAGCTTGGAAACTCAGCAACTGGATACCCTTCTTAAAATAGAAATTTATCTCATATTCCATTTGAGTTTCTTTTTCCGTTTCGAGCATTTGACATGATTTGAATTTGAATTCCCACATCCGTGTTTATCCCTCATTTATGATGAACATGTCGGATTCTCTCACCTCGGGTGACTTTTCTCGTGTTGCTCTTGAGAAATTATTATGAATCACTTTAAGTTTGGTGAAGGGTATGTCTGTTGTAATATATTTTTCCGAGTGCGGGAAGTATTGAACGTTTGTCCCACACGCCTTCAGTCATATGCTAATTTGCATTTTTGTCACGCAATATACCTCTTGTATCGATCCCTTTCTTTGTATAAACAAATAAAGGGTGAACCATTACCTTATTGATAGGGGGTGGGGGGGAGGACAAGGGCACCGAGATTAAAAAGGAATTTTACAGGGCTGGAAGGATAATATATATTATACATACAACGAAGTGCCAGAGTGGTGTCCTCTGGGCCCCTCATCGATAGTGCTCAAAAACTTATAAGGCGATTTCAAAAACTTATAAGGCGCAAATATCTATATAAATATATTCAAGTGCTCAATAGTTAAGGTGACTCGACCCAGTTTTTTGGGGGGGTACCATCCTACTTTGAAGCTCTCTGGTATCCCCATCTTTACTTTTATCGTAAGTCTAACACATAGAATGGATAACATATAGATCAATCTACATAAAATTTTTGGCGATCGGAGTAAATGTCACGTGGTTATAATTCCACGCCCCTTTGAGGTCTGAGTCGAAAATCTGCTGTTGCCGGCATTTTATCGTGAAAATCTCTCGGCTACAAATAGTGCGCATTAGTGCCTTGCGCTGAACAGAGTTTAACCAAAATCGCAAAGACCCAATTCGAGAAATTCAGCGGTTTCCAAATTTAGGTCATAATTTATGCGAAAATGATAAGCAAACTTTAGACGGATTATATCTCATTAAACTATGAGATTCATCCCTTTATTTTCGGCATCGTTATAACAGTTGGGTCCTTGCAAGTCAGCAAAACGCTTTAGGGCCTTGTAAATGCGCGCGATTTCGAGCAAAGCAAACATATAGAAATTATAGTTTTCGCTATTTGTTGACGTTTGTCAGCGTTTAAGAGTCCTTCTCACGAAAAAAGCATTTTCTTAAAAATTCGTAGTTTTTTTCCTTCAAATTTTTTCAGGGCCACAATTGATTAACTAACTACCCGGACTCTGAATTTCATGGTCATTGAAAAACTGTGACATTATCTTCTATAAGCCCAAACTTGAGTAAACATTGAAGATTTTTAGCGTTTTGGCTGAGTTTGTGCTTTGGGAGTTGTCTATTGTTTCTAGTCTGTCATTATACAGCATTCTTGTTCAGCACGCGTGCAATGACCACGCTTGGCATCACGCCTGGCGTTTATTGTTTTGTTTTACCTGATGATTCGCCTCGCAAGAGGCATGACTCACTGAGTAGCAATAAATGTTCAAGATATAATCCAGTCCCGTCAGTCTACTTCTATTATATACATACATATATACAGCTTTATCAAGAAGCCAAAATTAATGCAGCCCCCACCCCCATCAATAATCGAACGGTCCACGCCCAAGAACACGTAAAGTGCCACATTGCTTGTAATTAAATTGATTCATTACCAGAAAAAATCCTAACTCCTATTATATGCCAGGGGCACCCAACGACGGTTTCCTCCTAAATGCATTGAGAACACTTTTTAGGCTATCCAGAGTACTTTTAGATCTCTAGAAATGTATTCCAAGTGGCGCTAAAAAAACTTTTATCTGTTGGGCCATACTAGGGCAACCGTGAGTCTTTTTTCCCGAAAATTTTAGCTGCAATTTAAAATTTTACGAAAGTGAGGATTTTTCTGATTCCTTTCTGTATCGCATTTTCGATTCCGAGAATTTTAGGTTTCCTTTCTCTACCAAAAACAGCTTAACCTGGGTGTGAGATAGGAAAAACTAAACTTCAGAAAATCGTAGGGAATTTATTAGGTTAGCTTCAAAAATTGTACATGCATGGAACGGTCATCTAATAAATTTTTAGTCTTCCTCAAACTACAGAAAATTCTGGGCAATTTTGCTTCTGCGAACAGATATTTCACAGAAAACAGTCGTTGGGTGCCGCTGATATGCATTGGTGACTTTTTTACGTTATTTATGTCTTATTGTCAAAAAGTAAAGTGTCACAATAATGATCTTAACTCATATCTATAAGAAAAAATTCTATTAAAGAAAAAAAACCTCTCCTGCGGGCAACATTTATCCTTCTGGGGCCCAGTTGTTCAATAGGTGGATAGCGCTATTTCCCGTCTAAATCACTATCCACTGGATAGAGCAATTGGTTTCCCTAATACTTATCAATTGGATAGAGATTCATCCGATGGATAGCCCTACCCAACTTTTGAACAACTGGGGCCTGCTCTTTTACTAGTATTGTAAATAAAGTACTGAACGAAGAAGCAGGTCACATACTTTTAAGGGTTGATGTCAAGTTATAAGTTACTTGAGATTTATCGTCTTATACAAGCATACAACATACCTTGAAATTTAAGAGAAAACACTTCCACGAACTCGGCCTAGAAACAATAGGAATTTTCTAGGCAACTCGGCCCACCCCAATGCAATGGGGCAATTTGCCAGTCCCTGGCCATTTACGGGGTGGTGCGGCAGTGACTGCATTCTTTCACCATGTCTGTGATTGTATTTATTAGAGCAGCCTTTGTATCTTAAGATTTGAACGACAGTTCAAAATATTCGCAGATGTTTTCACATTGAATTTTGAGAGTACTTCTTGGTTGGTCTGCTCGCAGATATCATGGCCATCGTCCCTGATGGGATGTATTACGCCCATCTTGTTGAAAATATGTTCGACCTCCTTGTCTCTACGTTCATCAATAAGAAACGCAATTTCTTCTTGCAAGAGCACTGAGAGCAGATCTCATTCGTCACAAATTTCAACATTTTCGGCTTTGGTCAGCCCTTTTTTCCTGCTGATTGCAGACAGTCTGGAAAAGAATGATTGAACTTGTCCCTTTGTAAGCCATTCGTCTCTGGAACGTTCTTGAACTACCTGTGTTTCTGGTCGTTCTCATGTCCGTTGCGGCCTCAGAAAGATCTGGTTTCCTGCCTGTTTGTGTATCAACATCAAATCGTGCGGTGAGGTAAGACTTGACTTTCTCGCTAAACCTTGTCCCGCCTCCCCTTAACTTCTGCAGCCGCCCATCCACTAGCCTCGAATTTGCAGACACCACTAGGAGATTTGTTGGAAGTTCCTCGGTTGGCGGCAATTTTTACAGTCTGACCCCCACACTCTGTCACGTTTCAGCACAAGTGTGTTTTCCCTTATGGTCTGGATATCAGCATTCTGTGCAGCCAGTTGGATTACCCCAGTCCTTCCCTAGGTTCGCACGATGTATCGGACATACAAACATTTTTTCACCTTGTTGGGCAGTTTTACCAAAATACCCAGCCTGCCGCAAAGTAAGTTCGCTCTCTGCAATATTTTCTTTCGTTAAGTGACATCGCCTCGAATCGAGCCGTAAATAACGCTCACCTGTTACATTGACTAAGAGGCACCAACTTGCTTTCTCCTTTAAACTCTCCAAATCCGCTTTCATTGCGTGACAACAATCCTAATTAGCATATGACCATGAAGAAAACCCAAAAGGAAATTGAGCTGAATTCAGTCTTTATTAAAGAGCCTTTTAGTTGCTGAGACTCCAAACTCAAAACGGGCTTCGTTTGACCAGAAGTGAATTGTGTTCTTTACGATTTTGAAAATTGCTGAAATCGACAACCCCGCTGTAAATGGGCTTTTAAATTTGCATAATATACGAGTAGATGAAGAATTCCTACATGTATTTCATGACATTTTTATGCCGGTTTACAGGCCTAAGACGGCTTACAAAACAACAAATGTACGTTATTTTGACGAAGCATACCAAGATTCTGCCCCGTGGGAAAAATATCAGCCTTATCATATGAGTTTAAGTGTAGGCGCCAAACGTGCAATTTTAGGTAAATATTGACAAAAGGAGCTCTCAAAAACGCTTGTTCGCGTCCTGCACAGAATGATACCCGCACCTTTGACTTTATTTTCTAACAGAATAAGGTAAGATCTTTGCTGTGAAGTGCATTTTGCCTGTGATTTTTGTACCGCTTTGAAGATTTTAGCTTTTACTTTGGAGGAATTTGTCAAGGGAGAAAAAAAAACCGTAAAGTGGCTCGTCTTTGATCTTATTAATTTAATTTAATTTTGCGTCAAATTATCCAAGATTCCGTCATAGGACAAGTCAAATGCAGCTAAATCCGTTGTACTATGTAGAATTTTGCGATATTTATCCGTTACGAAGAGGCGCGGCTTTTAAAATTACTAAATTTTGGCCATTGAATAAAGTTGAAAAAGCGCTCTCAGACAGGAAAGAGGTTTTGTGCTGTAGCGAAGCACAGAAAAAGATTTTGAAAAAAATTAGTTCGATTTTAATCATTCCTCATTAAGTCCTTTTCACCCACAAAATATAAAGGGAAAGTTTACTGGCGATCCCAAACTCGCCGGACCGCTCTTAGGTGGACAGCCACTTAAGAGTTTAAAACATAAGGTCGGGTTTGAAAGGCCCACTAATAAATTAAGACCTTTGTGGTAAAATTTTCAAAACTTATATGCTCGTCTACTGGGGCCTTAAGGCCTCATACAAAAAATTTGTTGTAAACCCACAAATTATTTCAGCTTGCATGTATAACTGGTCAACAACCAAATATTACACAGTCCAAAAGGTACAATAAAAATTTTCAAAACTAGTTATTTTGGAAACAAATAACTATTTGACTAACGAATCAAATTTAAATACAACATACCTGTCTTCCTTACATTTAGCAATGGCTAAAGGGCACACTGATTTGCAGCTCTGATTAGACAGGAATGGTGTGTCTTTGGGGACTACACCCATTAGGACCTGACTGCGCCCTACAAATGAGAGGAAACAAAAAAAAAAGGAATTTCAAAAATTTAAGCACCATTTCATGACCTAGAGTTCAAAGTGTTTGGTTATGTTTACCCTGCCACTTTGATGTTACCCCCCCCCTTCCCTCAAACTTAATACAGACACCTGTATTTAATGGATACTTTGGTCGCAACAAAAAGCTCAAGGCATGTGTTTTCTCTAAAATTTACTCCCTAATACAGACAACAATAATATGGACAACAAGTTTTAAACTCCCACATATTATATACCCTGCTTTACATATTTTGTCTCTGCACTGTCTATGACTATGAATATCTTTCAAGTGAAAATTATGGATAAGGAACGGTAAATGTTTAAGAATACTGACAAAAAAGGACTACACCCATGATAAAAGATCACAGGGATCACAGGGATGAACTTGTTTCAGTTACAGTTAAGAAATAATTTGGACGCTATTGTATGTCCTTGGTGTCATAATTTTTAACCCAGTTTCACTGATGATTTTGTTTCTATGTTTTTCTTTCTTAAGTGCAACACAGTTGTTGCAAAATACAATAAAGGAATCTGGAAATAAGGTACACTGTATTTACTAAAGATTGTGTTCTCACCTGCAAATGGCCTACCATCAAGTTTGAGGCTTAGGTCAATTATTTCTTTCTGCACACCATGTAGTCTCAACTCCCTGATAATCCATGTTAGGGCACTTTCAAGAGAAACTTCATAACCAGGAAAATCTTGTATTTGGGTGGTGTGACCGAAGGGCCTTTATGTTGCTTTTGGAAAGCAAGATCGGAGTGTCTGATGAGTTCTAAAAGAAAAAAAAGAAGATCAAAGGTACTGACACAGTACCCCTGCCTCCCCCGACAGAAATGACCAATTTCTCTTACACCCCTCAGAAATTTTCCAAAGATCAAAGGTGTCGTCACAGTCAATCCCCTCGGAAATGACTTTCAAAGCCCCCAACAGAAAATCTTGTCCATAGTGGGGGGGAAATGGGAGTGGATATTTGAATGGAATAGACCACCATTTATTTATGGTTAGGGGGATTACTGTATAGTTCTAGTAAGCTTAAAGAAAACCGACTGCAACAACAACAACAACAACAACACAAAAAATAGTCAGTGGCTAACTCACCCCGCTTTTTCTAAGTCGAGTCCGATTTAAGATCATCTGCCAGGAATCGTCAGATATTGTTGATTCCAGCTTACAAAGAAGCAACATGCAATCGGGCACAGACATCATTTGAACACGCTGGTTCCACAGCTCCTCAGGTACGAGCTCGCAGAATGCCTTTCGAACTCCAGCTCCATCGTTCGCTACTTCACTAAACACATGCCAAATGAGCTCCTGAACATTGATTGCATTGAAAGTTTTCTTACGCTGAAACAGGCAGCTTTGTGCAACAACGTCCCTCTAGGTTTCTCCCTTCTCTAAACATGGTCATACAGATTCGACGCTACCCATTACAGCTTCCACCTTTTGTCTGATCTTTCTCTTCTTATACGCAGAGCCAAACTTTCCATTAAATAACGAAGAAATTGACGATGCAGATCCGACAGATTGCGAGGAGTCGTCACAGGAACTTGAAGAAGACGTGTGAACATGGTCAAAGGGGATTTCAAATTTTTGCGGGCTTTGTCTTCGTGGAGTGGAGCATTTTGGCGGGCTTCCCGGAAAGCTGCTTTCTAAAGATAATTTCTCCCCTTTCAATTCTTGGGGAGTTTCTCCTTCATCACTTTTAGAATCTCTGTCTGTACTAACGCAGCATAAGTCCTGAGCGGACCTGTGATCGATGTCCGAGTCTTTCAAAACATGCTTGTTGATGGTCCGCTTCAGCGACAAGAAGGCTTCTGGTCGAAGAAATTCCGATTCTGACGGGTTCCTAAGGACTAAATTACAGGCAACTACTGCAAATGTACTTCCAACGTAAACTTGATCAGAAGATTTTTGCCCATTTAGCTTGAACCACTGGCTTGAAACAGGGCAGCCATTTACATCGTGCAGATCAGCAAAATTAACACGAAGAAATTAATCGGGAAATAGCTGAAAGAAAGAACCCTCGCTGAATTTTCTCGGCTGCTTACTACACAAACGATATTCAATGCGTACCATGTCTTTTCTTGATCTAACGATCGAGAGAAAACGCGAAATAACATGGTAGTTACGTCCGATCACCGCAAGAAGGGCATCGTGAAAGCTTGCCTCCGCAAGTGACTCGATCTTCCTGAGAGTAAGCTTATACGAATTCATATCTGGCGCCAATTCAAGTTTCTACCGAAAAAAGCCTGATCCAATTTATCTCTGCAACAAATTAACTAAATAAGTCTGCTTCTTCTTCTCCACAGCATCAACAAGGAATTGACAGATCCGGATTACAATACAATACAATACAATGCAAATTTTAATGTCAACTCCCCATGGGGGCTTTTCAGAGGCAAGTATTAATAGTACAGGTAATCAAAAAAACAAAAACAAAAACAAAACAAAAAAAAGAAAAGACAAGTATCACAAATTGATTATCAATAAACTATTAAGAAACTATTTACATATATAATTTTTGACATTAAAATTGATTTAAAAGGAAGGCTTTCATTTTACGTTTGAAAATGATAAGAGATTCAATTAATTTAAAATGGGGTTTTAACGCATTCCACAATGTTACAGTTCTGTAATAAAAAGATCTCTGTCCCGACTTGGTTTTAAAAAGCGGTATATTAAGCTGGGAAGATGATCCGGTCGTCCGACCACTTATATTCCCTCTGGAGATAAAATTTGAACTGAGGTAGTTTGGTACCTGACCTGTCATAGATTTAAAGGCCAAGATGGCGTCTCTTAGAGACAGGTGGGACTTAACTGGTATCCATCTCAGGTCTTTCAGGGCTGGAGATGCGTGATCAAACTTCCTTGTCCCAGAAACTATGCAAGCAGCGAAATTAATCGGATTAATCACAGGCAGCCCAAGCGCACTATGTTTGGGTTCTGGCTTCAGAGGTCATTTGGTCGGAATATACTAGAATTATTAGTGTATTATCTGGTGCCAAATAAATGCAAAAATCTTAAAGATATGAAGTCTTCTTGTTTGTCTATTTGTACTAGTACCCTTTAAGATCTAACGAAGGTCAAGATTTCTTGCACTATTACATGTGATTCGGAGACAAGTGTGAATCAATTATGCGCCAAATGCGAAAGGCAATTCTGTCTAGTTCATTACACGTTGTGAAAGGTTTGAACCCAGGAGTCATTTCAAAAGTAGGTTGAGTTTGATCGTCCGGGTGAACGTAGTCCTGAATAGGACTGTTGTTGTTGACAGTGACTGACGTTTCGGCAACCTGTGCGGTATAGTCATCTTCAGAGTCAAAGTGAGTTGTGTCACGTCAGTTGATGGTATTATACTCTGGTTATTGATCTGATTGGTCAATTACGTCGCGATGTTATTGGTCGTCTGTCAGTTAAGCCGTGATGTTATTGGCTATGAAGACTCGTAATCAGTAATTGGTGCGTTTAGATCCGTCTATTGTTACAGTTAAACAGTCGTCTATAGTTAGTCAAATTGTCATTCTCTCGTAGTTAGTTTTGTTTGATCTCGTCAATAAGTCGTTTGTACGGCGCTGGTAACTGTTGGCTACGATTCAGTGGCGTTTGTTCTAAGTTAGTAAACCAGCTTTCTAAAGTAAGACGTTGATAGTAGTCTGTAGAATACGTTATACATGTCGCAGAGTCCCAATCAATTTCATGTTTCGTCTTTAAAGGGTGCTCAGCAATGTGATTGTTGACGTCACCATTCGTGTTCGGTCAGTCGCGTGCTTAGGTTTCTGCCGGTTTCACCAATGTAAGAAGCCTGGCAGTCGCAGCATTTGATCTTGTATACTGCTCCCTGTCTGTTTACTAGAATTAGAATTAGATATCTATAAGAATTTTGAAAACCTATTTTAACAGATACTTAATATTGTACATTATGGAAATTCTATATCTTAGACGCTCCCATAACTGAATAGACAGCTATATGAACGATGGTTTTTAACTTATAAACATTTGTACTTTGTAATTAAGACGTCCATAAAGCTTGTAGGATTTTATTTATTTATTTATTTTTTGACCCTTTTTTTTGTGCAAATTATTGTGTAATTGTTACCACAAATTTTAGTCGATGCTGCGGCTGGTTACGGTTTGCCTCCCAGCCAAAGGTTTTATTTTTTACTATGGGCATCCAGACGTTTGTACTGCCATAATAATAATAATAAAATAAGACAATTTGTTGGCTTTAAGTAGACAATGCAATGGTTTCTCTAACCGTCTCCACTTATGTCCAGGATTGAACGCAGCAGCAAAACTTTGCTAGCAAATTGTTTTCGCAGCTTTGGCAAAAACGATTTAAAGGACACTCCAGTCAGAAATGTATGAGAGAAAATTTAGAAAAAATTTAGTAAAAGAAAAAATTTAGTAAGAAAAAATTTAGTAAGAATAACAAATTCAACAATGATTGCATGCTGTAGCAAAATGACTTATAAGTGTTTTGTAATCTTCTCTGCGGAAACCTTATACTTCCGTTTATGACTATTACTTATACCATTATCAATCGTAATAAAGATCGACTTTTCGAAAATATCAGCCAGTATAACTTTAATATAATGGTTAACTAATCAGACTACATATACTAAGTTCTTCCAAATACCCCTTCCGTTTGTAAAAATTTGCGACATTAGTTCTGCAAGATAGGAAAACAAAATTCAGTTCCAGTTCCAATACACGACTCCACATCATTGCTACGCTATACTTTTACACTAAACACTTAACAAACAGTACCTGAAGTTACCTTTATAAATAAAAAAAATGTTACATGAGTTGAAATAATTGTAGCGATAGCTTCGGTGCCATCAAAGGCAAAAGACTATCCCATTTTGTGTATTGTGAAATTGGAGATTGCTTGTTTGTTTGTTTTTGCAATGATACGTTAGAATTGGTAAGATGTTTTTGCCTTTTGTATA